GAGGTAAGGGATTTTTTACTTTATTTGTTTTAAAAAATTAGAAATACTTACCTTTTGCAAATTAGCAAAGGTAGGGGATTCTTTACCTATTTTCGTTTAAAAAAAATTAGAAGCACTTACCTTTTGTAGATATGTAGACCGAGGTAAGGAATTCTTTACTTTTTTTTGTTTAAAAATATATTAGAAAAACTTACCTTTTGCAAATGAGCCGAGGTAAGGAATTCTTTACTTTTTTTGTTTAAAAAGCACTTACCTTTTGTAGATACATAGACCGAGGTAAGGGATTCTTTACTTTTTTGTTTAAAAAAAAATTAGAAGTATTTACCTTTTTTAGATATGTAGACTGAGGTAAGGGATTCTTTACCTTTTTTGTTTTTAAAAAAATGTTAGAAATACTTACCTTTTGCAAATGAGTCGAGGTAAGGAATTCTTTACTTTTTTTGTTTAAAAAGCATTTACCTTTTGTAGATACATAGACCGAGGTAAGGGATTCTTTACTTTTTTGTTTAAAAAAAATTAGAAACACTTACCTTTTTTAGATATGTAGACCGAGGTAAGGGATTCTTTACTTTTTTTGTTTAAAAAAATATTAGAAATACTTACCTTTTGCAAATGAGCCGAGGTAAAGAATTCTTTACTTTTTTTGTTTAAAAAGCAATTACCTTTTGTAGATACATAGACCGAGGTAAGGGATTCTTTACTTTTTTGTTTAAAAAAAAAATTAGAAGCACTTTTCCTTTTGTAGATATGTAGACCGAGGTAAGGGACTCTTTACCTTTTTTGTTTAAAAAATCTTTACCTTTTATAGAATTTAAAATCAAAAAACAAATTTAGTAAACTTACCTTTTGTAGATCTTGTAAATCTTTAAATTACTTGGCGTAGTATAATAGCGTCAGGAGAATTAATTATTTTTTCAATAATAAATGCTTTGATTTATATTTTCAGCTTTAATTTTATTCTGGTTTTTTTAGTCCAAATAATCTTAAAAGCTTTACTATTTAATTTTTAGACTGGGTGATTCATTTAATCTCGGAGAATTTACTACTTAAATTTTCATATTAGATAATCCATTTTACTAGTTATGTTTTAGATTTATAATTATTGTATTTTTCATATGTAAACACTAAATTCAAATTTTTTTTTAAATCTATAAAAGTATCATCTAACACTTATTACAACAAAAAAAAATAATTCAAAAAAGTTACATTTTATCTTAAATTTATTTTTCTTTTTACAATAATTTCCTTTATAATTCTTTTCTTTAAAAAGTTTGCAACACTTACTTTTTCGCATAATTTATTTTCTCTTGCTTGTTTTTGTTTTTAATAAAATAATAAAATAATAATGTCAGAATTGCTAAATGATACAAAAGGTAAATATTTATTAATGTATTGATGATATTATGATTTTTTATTAATTATTATTTTTTTAATTTTAATAGAATTGAATGAACAAAGTGACACTTGGAAAAATATTTTTATTGATGAAGATGATTTTGAATATAATTATTTAAATGAAGAAGATGATATAACAAATTTGGATGATGATAATTTGAGTTCAACAACATCAAATATTAATAGCTATACAACGGAAAGCACAAGTTATAATGAGGAAATTTTACCATTTACATTAGATGAAATAGTATTAGAAAAAGCTCAAGAAATAATAAATGCAAATAATAACGATAATGATGATAGGATTAATTGGAATGATATTAATTTTGAAAACTTAGAAACAGAATCAATTATAACAGAACAAATAGAAGAAGAAAATAATTATCAAATCGAAAGTAAATCTAGTGAGTTATTAACATCTTGTGTTGTTTTAGATATGAAAGATAATAGAATACAGAGTTGTAAAAATAAAACATTAAATCAACGTCCTTTAGCACAATTAATTAGTACATAGGAAATTGATAGTGAAATAGTTATTAATACCAAAGTAGAAAATAAATTATATACATTGGGAGTATGCATGTCTCATTACAGTTTTGACCAAAATTCTCTCCATAATCCAAAATTAAAACAACAACGATCAGTAGAAAAAAGTTGGATTTATAAAGACGGTGTTTATTTTGTAATAAATTTAAGTATTTTTTTAGT